CCTTTGTCGCCGTGCAAGTAGACGAGACGACGGACGCGACCGACGACAAAGCCCGCCTCTCCGTCGTGATGCACTACGTGGCCATCGGCGAGGCGACCTGTCAGGTGCGGGAGGCGTTTTTGGGCTTCGACGACGTGAGTGACAGACGAGCGCCGGCTATTGCCGATTACGTTTTCGGCGCGCTGAAGAAGTACAATTGCGTGGAGAAGCTGGTGTCTCAGAGTTACGACGGGGCCTCCGTGCCGGCCTCGGAACTTAATGCGGTGCAGGCCACGATTAAAGGGGCGGTCCCGGAAGCCGCTTTCGTCCACTGCTATGCGCACAACCTGAACCTGGTGCTCATGCATTCGGCAAAATGTATCCCGGAGTGCAAAACGTTTTTTAAAACGCTGGAGGGACTGGCGACTTTTTTCAGCCGGTCAACCGAGCGCACCCAACTACTGGACGAGGTGGTGAAGCGGCGTTTGCCCAGAGCGGCGCCGGCAAGATGGAGCTCCGCTTCCGGCCTGGTCCAGACCGTCGGCGTGCACCAGTCTGATCTACGCGCTGCGTTCCGGATCGTGAGCGAAAATCCCGACGGCTGGGACGTCCAGACCCTGATGATGGCCGTGGGGTACGACCTCTGGCTGTCGGAGGCGTCCACCTGCTTCCTGATAATGGCGTACGAGTGCGTCTTCGGCGAGACCGACGAGCTCTTCCGCGCGCTGCAGAGTAAGGCGACGGACGTGGCGGTCTGCTGCGAGCTGATCCGCGACGCCGCGGGGTCCGTGGAACGCCAGAGGCGGGAGTTCGACCGCTTCTACGAGCGGTGCCGGCAGCGGTGCGCCGCGCTCGGCCTCAACGACGGCGACGGGCAGCCGATCAGAGAGGAGAGGAGGAGATTGTTTCATGACATCCTGGACAACGTCGGTCTTCAGATGCAAGCTCGCTTCGAGCAGTTCGGCGAGCTAGCGTTCGTCGGCTTTGTGGACTGCGCCAAGTTCGGTCAGATGTCCCAACACCTGGACGACCCGAAACTGCAGAGCCTGTCGACGTACGCGCGCTACTTTGACTTTGTGAGGCTGAAGGCCGATCTGGTCGGACTGTACGGCTCGCAGGAGGTGAGGAACGCGTGCAAGTCGCCCGGGCAGCTCCTCGGCTTCCTGGTCCGAAATGACCTGACGCAGACGGTTCCGGAGGCCACAAAGCTGCTCCAGTTGGTGCTCACCATCCCGGCTATGGCGGCGTCCGCGGAAAGGCCGCTCTCGGCGTTGAGACGGCTTAAGTCGTACAGCTGGATCGGGTCTGACCGAGGGGAGCTCTCGTCCCCGGCCATCATCTCCGTCGAGAAGGAAAGACTTTTGAGACTGAGAGGAAATAAAGAAGACTTCTACGGCAAAGTCACCGACATCTT